ACTTTGGCAATTCATATGTATCTAGGAATCTCCCCATTTCTTCTGTGTTTTCCATTTTATTGGAGTACAGGTTCTCAAAGTAGGTATTGATGATCCTCTGAATTTCTGCTGGATCTGTTGTGGCTTCACCTTTTTCATTCTTAATTGCATGGATTTTCTTTCATTTTTCTGATAAGGTTGGCTAAAGGTTTATTGACTTTATTTATTCTTTCAAAAAACCTACTCTTTGATTTGTTGATTTTTTGTATCGTTCTCTTAGTGTCCATTGCATTGATTTCTGCACTGACCTTTATAATTTCCTTTTTTGTACGAGCTTTGGGTTTGCTATGCTCTTCTTTTTCTAGGAGCTTGAGGTTCTGCATTAGGTTATTTAACTGAATTCTCTCTGTTTTCCTAATATGGGCATTCACTACTATGAGTTTCCTGCGTAGAACTGCTTTCATTGTGTCCCACAGATTCCTGTATTTTGTACTGGCATTATCATTTAGTTGTAGAAACTCTCTAATTTCTTCTTTAATTTCCTCTGTGACCCATTGGTTGTTCAGGAGGGTGTTATTCAATTTGCATATGTTTGTTGGTGTTTTACTGTTTCTTATGTTATTGATCTCCAATTTTATTGCACTATGGTCTGATAATATACAGGGGATAACTTCAATTCTTTTACATTTACTTAAACATGTCCCATGAGGTAGCATGTGGTCTATTTTGGAGAATGTCCTGAATGCAACCAAAAAGAATGTATATTCTGATTTTGTGGGGTGGAACACTCTGTAAACATTTATTAAGTCCATTTGTTCAATAGCTTGCTTCAGTTCTAGAATTTTGTTGTTGATTTTTTGTCTAGGTGATCTGTCTATTTGTGATAGTGGGGTATTGATGTTCCTCACTACAATTATGTTATTGTTTATTTGGTTTTTCAGTCCATTAATATTTGTTTTGTATAGTTGGGGGAATTTATATTTGGTGCATAAATATTTAGGATTGTCATCTCTTCCTCTTGGAATGTTCCCTTCACAAGGTTGTCGTGACCATCTTTGTCTCTCTTAATTAGTTTTGGTTTGAAATCTACTTTGTCTGCAAATAAAATTGCTACGCCTGCTTTTTTCTGGGTTCTTGTCGTGTGGAGAACTGTTTTCCATCCTTTTACTTTCAGTCTATGGATTTCCTTTTGAGTTTGGTGTGTTTTTTGTATACAGTATATTGCTGGGTTTTGCTTCTTAATCCATTCTGTGAGTGTATTTCTTTTGATTGGTGAGTTGAGGCCATTAACATTGATAGTTATAATTGATAGATATTGGCTCATAGTTGCTATGATGTTTTATTGTTGTTGGCTCTTTTATTTCTTCTTTTTCCCACTTTCCCTTTAGTGCCTTACCTTGCATGGTG